TAACGGAATTTATTAGAGATTCATAATTAATCGCGTTCCGGTCCTATGTAATCATATTACATAAAATACTTTCATTCCAATAATCTCATTATTAACAATCTAGGATAAGATTGTTTCATTCAGAATGTAATGAACCGCATTAGTAATTTTAAATTAAAGATCCCAACTTTAATTTATAATTACGGAAAAGTTTAGATTATTTTATTTCAAACATTATCCTCTGCATATAACAATTATATATAATGTTTAAAATTACATCAAAAAATAATCTAGGGATTTTGATATTTATAAAACATCACATGTATGCAAAATAATATTAAAAAATTTCTCATTTCATTAATAATAAGCAAAATATTTACATCTTATTTGATTTGTGGACATATATCCCAACACTTCCTACTAGCCATGGAACGCCCAACGGTGATAAGAGCAAGTGGCAAACCTTTGCACTCTTTAGCAACAGCTTTAGCAAGGTGTGGTATAGTTGGATGAGAACTTAGAGCTTCTTCTCCGACCTTTTCCAAGAATAAATCCAAGGCCTTCTCTTGTTCCAAGCACTCTACACGAATGCACTTATCAGCCTCCATTTGGCCACACACCTCCTTGGAACGGGTTGTGAATATTACTTTGGAACCATTATGAATATCTGGAATAGGAACCCCGACTTTCAAGAGATCAAACTGCTTCCAGACGTCGTCTAGTAACAACACAAACTTTTTCCCTCGTAAAGTCCTGTATATCTTAATGGATCTTTCTTCTACTCGATTGGATTTCCACTCATCATCTGGGATTTGTAATCTGTCTTGAATAGCATCCTGAATTTTTGATATACTTGCTTCTTTGGATGCCACAACCCAGATGACTACGTCAAAGTCGTTTACCAACAAAACAAACTCATTGTTGATCCTCTTCTAAAGCGTTGTTTTTCCAACACCGCCCATGCCATACAAGCCAATGATTCCCACATTCTGGCTCCGAATGCATCTCCAAACCTCAAGCAAGGTCAAGTCCAAGCCCAGGGTTTTTTCCACGGGCATCTCACCCACAAAATTATGCTGCAACTTGGGAGCCACCAGTTTCAAATTGTCCTTTTCCCACAAGTTTTCTTACAGCATCTAGCTTTTTAGCCACTCCCTTGCCAAGCGCGTACCTAGACCAATAGTTCTTGGGACAACTTCCAAGACACTTGTTCTGGATTTCTTCATTACCCTTTTGCAGAATTTGATTCACTCCTTCCATGGCTTCCACACTTTCCAACCAGCCCTTCACTTGGTTGGTACACTGAAAGTCTTGTTCCACAGCAAAGTCAACTCTTCTCTTTACATCTTGGCTTATGTTTTTGAGCTCGTTCATGGCATTACTTAAAGAGGCAACATTCTCTTCAAGATGATGAACATAAGATATACGCTTGGCCGAGCAATCCCACAAGCGAATTCCAACGTCCAAGATTGGACTCACGCAATCCATGGCTCTTGTCGGAGCCTTTTGATCAAAACTGAAGAACAATGAGAAAAGGAAGAAACACTAGTTAAACAGTTGCAAAAAAAAAAAAGAAAAAAAAAGAAGAAGAAGAATGAAAGAATAGATGGTTTTGTGCATGTGTGTGATCCTGCTGCGAATAACTAATGTAAATAAACATGCTTAATTCTTCAAGTTGTTACAGCTTTACCCCGCTTAAGGAATTTCGTCATTGAAATTAGAGCTTACCACAAGATAAGAACATATGCGGTCGTACTGGAACTTTGGATGGCCCGTCCATGACCGCCCGAAAAAACTAATTTTGAGCTCGACGCCCGAACCTGCCCGCCTAAAATTTTTGGGCCGCTTGCCAGAGCTCGAGAAGGCCCATGGATGGGCTGCAGGCCTAGTTTTGGCTGCCTGAGCCCGGTCAGGCGGCCCAAGCCCACCCGAATGGCCCGAAAATTTTTTTTAATTATATTTTTTAATTTTTATAATATTGTATATATATATATATTATAATATACTATTATTTAGTAATTGTATTTGTATATAAATAATTATTAATTTATTTTTTGTTAAAATTATATAAAAACTAAAATAAACATTCAACACACATTATTAACACAATTTAATAAATTAATTTTGTATATTAATTTTTAAATTCGTAATTCATAATTAATTCGTTAAAAACCTTATTAAGAAAAATCTAATTGGGATAAAAACTTAGTAATAATTCGTTAAAAACCTTATTAAGAAAAATCTAATTGGGATAAAAACTTGGTAAGAAAAAAGAGTACAATCATTTTGTGACAAATTATAAATTTTACAAACTTACAAAGTCTAAATATACAATTACAATGTCGAAAGCAAATACATATTTACAAATTATAATTTAATTTGAAACTGAATGATTGTTTTCAAAATTAAATGTTAATCTATTAAATTCATTGATCCATTCTTGACTTGTCGGCGAAATTGTATCTTGTAAATGTTGATCGGCATGATCCCAATCCTTAATGCAAACCAAGGCTTCAATAATGTCCCTTCGCAATGCGTTTCGGCGTTCCTCAAGTATTCGTCCGGTCGTACTGAAGGTTTGTTCGGATGAAACAGTGGAGACTGGGATCGAAAAAATATATATTGCTAATCGAGTTAGGATTGACTAAGTGAATGCTCGTGCCCTCCACCATTGAACTAAGTCAAATGATTCTCTAGTACCGTCGACTACTAAGCTCTCACTGAGGTACGCCATAAGCTCGTTGAAGCCACCGCCGCAGCTGCCACCTGTTGATGAAGATCCAGTCTCAACTTCTATTTGAGTCATCTTCTTCTTCTTCTTCAACCCGAAAACATTCAAGAATGAATGCAGGGTTTTATCTTGTTTTTACGGTTCCTGTACTCCGGAGTTTGTGTTTCTAAACCTATTCTCATATTTACTATATATCAAAAATATTTTTGCCTTTATTGTTGGAAATTGGTCAGAACAATTGATGCCTAAGAATTCACCTAAGTTTTCTAAACCACTTTCTAAACCGTCTAATTTTAATTTAGGATCAAATATAGTACGAAACCATACAACAAAGGCAAGTTAGACCATTACTTTATCACTTAATCTAAATTCATCAATTACATTTAAAATTGTATTATATATTAAATCGGTGCTATGTGATCCTAAAACACATTTAAAACCTAATATTCTCTTATCTAAATCGAATCCTTTAATGTAATGTCCGGTTACAGCTAAATAATCTTTATTGGCGACGGTAGACCAAATATCTGCCGTTAACGCAACGCAACCGCTAGTCGAGTGTAAAAGGTTTATTAATGCTTCTTTTTCTTTTTTAAATAATTTTAACAAATCTTTCCTAAGAGTAATTTTTGAAGTGAACTGTGCATTAGGATAATATATAACTTTAATATATCGTTGTCAATTATGATGCTTTACAAAACTAAGTGGTCGATCTAATGTAACTATCATTCGCGCAACTTCCATACGATCTACTTGCAGATTGTATTTTCAAGTGGTTAGAGACCACCGGTTGCGCGATCAAAACATAATTGTGTTTGGCGGAGTTCGGCTCCACCGGATTGGCTAAGCTTTTGAAGACACTTTTCAAAATGTCTTCTCAAGTGTGTTGTATCGTGAATAGTGTCACATTGTAATTTAGATAAATAATATTTACACTAAGCTATATGTTTAGTGTTACCTTCATTGTCGATCTCTTCAATTGTGTCGAAGTGATCCCAAACTGTCGTGGTGCGCTTGCATTTCCTCTTGAAGGTTGCAACACTTGCAGACACAGTAGCACCTGCACTCGTCGCTTTTGCACGCCCACCACCATTGCGACCACGATCTCTAGTACGTCCATGTAACGACTTGCACCCCCACCTGGTATGATATTGTCCGCTTTGGGTGAGAAAAATGTGTGGGGGATGAGGGGTATTTATAGAGAAATTTTTGAGTTAAAAAATTGATTTTTTTCCTCCAAATTCTGATCCAACGGTTATTTTTTGTCTCGGCGGGTCAGGTTCGGGTTGAAAATCAGACAACGGTAAAAAGAGCGGTTGGATTTGGGCAGTTCGGGCTTCGAGTCGGGTTGGGCACCAATGGTCAAAATATATATCCGTTGGCCGGACTCGGGCTTCGGGCAAATCGGGCCGTTCAGGCCTGAGTGAAAAAATTCAAAAAAATTCCAGCGATTGACGGTGATATCACGGCGGCGGGCTCCAGTGAATTGTCCATTTTCGAGCAGGGATCACTTCAGTAGCCGTATGCACATAGCTTCAGAGCAGGGATCGCTTTCTGAATGGTCCTTAAGTTAGAAAACGATTAAGTGGAAATTAGCATTGGCTTAAACTCCAAGTTCGCAGGCAATTGTTGATATTTTGACGAATGGGATAGATTTCTCATCTCAAGCGTTTTAGCTTCAGAAAGATCAAAAAGCGTAGATTTGATGGGGTCTTGTTGATGGTAAAGAAATTTTGATAAGGTGCATAGCACGTGCCACAGAAAGAATTGATGGGTATTGCCTAGGTAACTTTCGACTATCATTTGAATTGATTTCTATGTATTAAAACAACACCTCTGCTAGTCTACAAAATTTTAAAATTTTTTGACGTTATTTTTATTTTATTTTAATTTTTAAAAACAAAAAATAGGGAAAATTTTAAAAAGTAGAATATTCATTAAAAAATAGTGCCGCTTATTGCATTAATTCTTAAAAATCACGTATTAATTTTAGAATGTAAAATAAATAAAATGTTAATTTTTGACTCATTCTGACCCTTGGGCGCCCCACTGCTCAGGCTGGGTACTTTTTGACAGCATTTTGTTTCATAATTCGAGGCCATTTTTTGCAGGCATGCTCAGAAAAATATAAGGATCGTGTCTGCAAAATTTAGAACTTTTTGACGTCATTTTTATTTTATTTTAATTTTCAAAGACGAAAATTAGAGAAAATCATAAAAAAATAGAATATTCATCAAAAAATGGTGTCGCTTGTTGCATTAATTCCTAAAAATCATGTATTAATTTTAGAATGTAAAACATAAATAAAAATTTTAATTTTTGACCTATCTTGGCCCCTGGGCGACCCATTGCGCGGGCCGAGGGCTTTTTGGCAGCGTTTTCTTTTTTCATAATTTGAGGTCATTTTTTGTAGGTATGCTTAGAAAAATGTAAGGATCTTGTCTCTAAAATTTCAGAATGTTTCGACATCGTTTTATTTTATTTTATTTTTCAAAGACGAAAAATAGAGAAAATTATAAAAAATAGAATTTTTTGTCGTTTTGTTAAAACGACGTCGTTTTCAAGCATCAGAAAAAATGACTTTTCGTTTTGTTGGTGAAAGATTTTTTGTATTTTTTAAAATGACGTCGTTTTGACGCATCAATAAAATGACATGTTGTTTTGTTTTTCAAAGTTTATTGTCAAAACGACATGTCATTTTGTACGTAAAAGTTTTTTCTCTTTTTGTCAAAACACCATGTCGTTTTGTTTGTGAATGTTTTTTGTAGTCTTGTCACTTTTTTGCGGGCACACTCAGAAAAATGCAAGGATCGTGTCTGTAAAATTTTAGAATTTTTTGACGTCACATTCATCGAAAAATGGTGGCCCTTGTTGCATTTATTCTTAAAACTCATGTATTAGTTTTAGAACGTAAAAGATAAATAAAAATATGAATTTTTGACCCATCCCAACCCCTAGGTGCCCCACTGCACTAGCCGGGGCCTTTTTGGCAGCGTTTTATTTTTTCATACTTTGATGCCATTTTTTGCAAGCATGCTCAGAATAATGTAAGGATCGTGTCTGTAAAACTTTAGAACTTTTTGACGTTTATTTTATTTTATTTTAATTTTTAAAGATGAAAAATAGGGAAAATCATAAAAATAGAATATTCATTAAAAAATGGTACCGCTTGTTGCATTAATTCCTAAAAATCATGTATCAATTTTAATTGTTGACCTATCCCGGCCACTTGACACCGTACTGTGCGAGCTGGGAGCTTTTTGGTGGCATTTTTATTTTTCATAATTCGATTTTATTTTTTGCACGCATGCTCAGAATAATGTAAGGATCCTGTCTACAAAATTTTAAAACTTTTTGATGTCATTTTTATTTTATTTTAATTTTTAAAGACAAAAAATAGAGAAAATCATAAAAATAGAATATTCATGAAAATATTATGCCGCTTGTTGCATTAATTCCTAAAAATCATGTATTAATTTTAGAATGTAACACATAAATAAAAATGTGAATTTTTGGTCCATGCCGGAAACTTGGCGCCCCACTGCGCGGACCGTGGACTTTTTGGCAGCGTTTTCTTTTTTCATAATTCGATTCCATTTTTTACAGGCATGCTAAGAATAATGTAAGGACCGTGTCTACAAAAGTTAGACCTTTTGATGTCATTTTTATTTTATTTTATATATCAAATTTGAGAATTAGGGAAAATCATAAAAAATAGAATATTCATAAAAAAATGGTTCCGCTTGTTGCATTAATT